ATATATATATCGGATATTCTAAAAGCAGCAATTAGTTTGCGTGGATTTTAAATTGAAAACACTCTAGAGGCGGTATTAAAATGAACTTGCGCTATTGTCTTTAGTAAGGTACGTATGTTTTGCCTGCCCAACGCTCACCTCTCTCGTATGACATCCATAAGTATCCTGACGATTTGCTCCGACTGCTCTGGCTTGAATCCGCTGGTATTGAGTTTCTGCGACAACGTCAGTGTGTCTATGTGTTTCGCGTTCGGACCAAAACCTGACCCACTATTTAGAGGACTTGTTCGTGCACCCCAATCTATAGCATCGTCATTCACTGAACCAGGAGGACCCATATGTGCATGTTTGCGTGTCTGTGAATCTGATAGTGTTGATTGTGTCGACATTGTCGGCGTATTTTGAAATTCATTACTATCAGAAGACGTATCGAATCCCATGGTAGACTGAATCTCGGCGCTGGCCTTATCGAGAAATTTCTGGGTGGCTCTGGGCCTTGAACCTATATCAGTAGGGGTTGAACCCAGGTTACTATGGATGGTGGCTAAGCCACGCGTTGATATTTGATACTGTTTGCAATTGAACGTGTTCTTCGTGATGTGGAGTGGTTGTGGATTACCACTACGCACAGCCATACGAGGCATCAAATAGTTTCTTTTGGACAGCTTGTGCACACACTGCATCAAATTGCTATGGCGACCGACCGTCAACCTCGACGTTTGGCTCAGTAGTGGGTTCATGGTGTGTGTATCTGTGACTGTGCGTCTGTGGACTAATGTCCGGCTGTCACAATATTTAAGACTGGTCGCTGTCTGACAACACACAGCAGGAGGGGTGTTATTTATTACATTTCTTCCAATTTTCCTCATGAGTCATATATAGGCCCAAATTTAGACCATAGGGTGCTTTTCTGCTAATTACTGATTCTGTCCGAAACAGAGTATCCAGCCCGTTAAAGTATAGTCTTCAGTTTGATAATGCTATGCCGATAAAGTATAGTCTTCAGTTTGATAAGGCTATGTACAGGTGTATCTATCCAAGTAGAATGAGGCTGTAGTACATAGTCCCATATAGCACGATTGGTGGGGGGTTTTACCTGTTTTGTAGAATGGTCACGTCGGTTCAACAACTATGAACCTGTTTGAAATTGTACAATCATTTTGTGGCATTATGAACTTGACTCCTTCAGTACATTTATATTTCCCAGTGTATCCTTCGGTATCGTCCCTCTATATATGCGATTGCTAAACCATCGAGCAGCCGTAGAACTGATATTCATCGAGCAATACTTTACTGTTAAAGAAAAAAATATGTATGCAGTATTCTTGATCGTTCGTTAAACGTCGTTAGCTTAAAGTCTATAGATGCTATCTTATTGTCGAGGAAAAGTATATTGCTATCTATGCGATTGCCATATTGTCTAGCGATAATATGCTGCTACAGGACAAGAGCATAATCAGGATGCTTGCCAAGTTGATGTGGCTACGATAAACGGAGTGTACGCCAACTGTTGGTTACTAACACTGATTTGTATACATATATATCACTATATTGGCGTGGAGTGTATAAAAGTAGAGTTCTAAACGGCCAGTTCTCGTGGTAGAATAGATGAATATACTGATATTTCTATCTCTAATAGAGGGAAACAACGTTTCTAGTCTAAAAGCTCCGCAGACGCAGCCTATTGACACTACGCATGTTGACACTGCACAGACAAGTTGCACTGCACAGGTACACTAAATTCAAGTGCCATCAACATCTCAAGGTAATTTTTTACAGGCGGGATGAGTCAACATTTGTAAAGTCTATAATATACGCAACCACAACAGAGACAAATTATCCCTCAGGAACCCGGCTTGGGTAAACCTTTCAAAATTTGGACGGCTTGAATTGATTCCAGAACGCGCCAGATACCAGGGTCGTGTTTTAGTGTTCAAAACGTATATTCACATACTGTGTGTTGTTGAAGGTTATAGGTCTAGATTTGTACCTCCGATCTCACTTTACTACATGATATAATTGTGACCCAGACGATGCAATTTCTAGAGGCACGCATTCACAAGGACATCCACTAGGAGATCGCTTCACTGACAACAGATTTTCCGAATGCTAACGTACTCTTGTCAGAAACAACATTATCATCATTATCAGTGTATAGACTTTATTCCATTATATAGTCCATACTGGTATAGATGTAAGTAGTCAGCCTTTGTTGTCAAGTACCCAGACATATTATCCAACATCAGCTTATCTATATTGGTGACGTTCTCGACATTTGGAGCATTTCAGTGATAATAGATACCAGATTCGCTCTACGGGCTCCAGTTACATTATTTAGATGTCAATTAGTATTTTGCGTCGAATCTCTGTGTACCATCATTTCGTCAATTTTGTACGCCATAAGCTCATAGTATATATCCGGTGACTGATCACCCAATTCCATTACTTCGCGGCCATATATGTCTCTGCCATACGTAGGTGCTATATCAGTATGAGGGTTCCATCGTACGCGGTTGTTAGGTGTACCTGAGCCTATGAGCCCATCACTCGATTGCGAATGCTGTCCATTCACTAGTCCCGCCCTCTTCCACGGTAAATCCGATACTCTGCCGCTGCTCGCACTTCGATGGAGCGGTGGTGGCCGGTTCTGTGTCCTAGTGGACAACATCGCCGGAGCAGATGGGCTTGTTCCGATCATGTCTACCTGTACACCACGTCGCAAATGCTCGACTGGGGACGCAACACGCCCGTCGCCATGTCCGTACCCATACCTTGCATTTACCCCTAGTCTGGATGGGCGTTCAGGTGTCATTCCTGCCCTATTTCCTGTTGAGTGACGATGTCTCAATTGGTTCTGGTTTTGATTTTGATTCTGATTTAGCGCAAGGCCGCGGAGTTCCGACATTTTCGATCCCTTTTGAACTTGTCTTGGTGAGGGGGCCAGTATCAGAGTTTTCATATCACCTCCTCTCAGTGGAGACTTGTAGGTTGGAGTCGTAGACAGACCACCAACAGCACCCGCACTCAATGATCTACCACGATGCGAGGTTAGTTCTACATCTTGTGGACCACTGTAAGTCTCTATCGGGCCTGTAGAGGACCGTAACAGAGCCGACGAGAGTGGTTTCACATTACTATATGTAGCTGAATTTGGCTGAACTGTATTTACTGTAGCTCGTTCTGGATTCGGACGCCGCCTGTCCATAAGTGGAGACGGCGTTGCCGGGAAGAATCTGTCAGCAGCTTGAAAATCGCTCCTATGTGCAGATAGAGGCGAAGGTTGGCCTGTCGGCGTGCTTTTTGAAATCTTTAAATACGCTTCTTTGATCATCGCATCTCTCTCATTATTCCTGTGGCCTGGATCGCTTTTCAACTTCCCTGAGCCAGTCACACTGGCGTGTTCATAAATACGCGAGCCGGTACTCCCACCACCACCTATTGGTACTCTGCCGGGATACGAATCTATATTGAGATGCTCTGTGCGAGGGCTTTTACTGTGTGTACGATGGTCGGTACGATCTGTAGGGGCTTTTAGGATTTGTAAGCGAGTTGTAGGCGTTCGCCTCTCTGCGGCTATGGGTGAATCGAGGTCATTCAACTTGTGAACTGGAGTACTTTTACTTGGTTTTAATAACTGGGGGCGAGCTTTATGTGATTTTCGACGTTCAGAAGACCTTGTGGTTATTCTAAATACCCGCAGCCCCTCTCTATCGCTTATCATTTCCTGCTCTGTGGTACCATCTGAGCTAGAACTCACCAGAGCACTGCGCGGCCTGCCATTAAAATTAGAATCCACATGATTGCCTTGTATACTTTCAAAAGGTATTTTATCCTCGAATAGCTCACTTTCGGTTAGCTCATTCTCGGTACATGATGCCGATGGGACTGAGACTATACTACGAACTTCGTTGTCAACACCCTTAAGGGCCACGACAGTACTTTCACTAAACCGCTTTCTAAAGCTACTTAAACTATGCCTATCGGAACTCTGTGTCTTTGATTTACGTGAAGATTTAAGTCCAAGGGCTCGCTGCAATTCGCGCCAACCCTTTAGTGCAACCATTATTCAGTACCAAAATTTACTGAACCACACCTATTTTCAGCTATTTTGTTTGCGCACCTGAACAAAAACAGTTCTATTACACATTATTTAAGAAATGTATGCACAGATTTGTCGAATGTGATCTTATATAGTGCTGGAAGGCTTGACTATGTATCTAAATAATAATAAAAATACCCCATGTTCCTCAGTCTCACGAACTTGTGCATTCGTTGTTTTGTTTTACAAAATAAAAATTTAATATGTACATTCTGTATACAAAAATATATATTTTAAAAATACAGTCATGCCTCTTTATATGACCACCTCTATCAGGTGTCTACCTCTTTATATGTCTAGTTTTATTTGAGCCGACCCATATGTGAGTTAGGCCATTTTGGGGCCAGTCCATCAGCCTGCCCCTCTGCCATAATGGAGTGTCAAGTCTCGACGCTCAGTGAGATTCCTTTCAGAAACTCGGACTCTGCAAAAATTGAAGTCTGAGCCCGTTCGTATTTTAATATGTAACTATACATAGCCTCCTAAAATAAAACAAAACTGTGTGTGTTAATTTTATTCAAAACATTAATAGCTTATTGTTAACTTGTGGTAATAAAGTACATATAAACTACTATATATCAAGTTCTGATGCAAGTCACTTCTCTACTAGTGGTGATAGTTATTGTGTGAAAGAATGCACGACCACGCAACCAACGTCAGGTGCACACAACAAGTGCGCTGGTTGCGACTGTAATATGCATGAAATACTGCTTGTCTACAGATATGTGCTAGGCACCAGACTATCGTGGTGATTCCTTGTTCTACCTTTCTACCTGAACCTGTTAGGGTGAACCTGACCCCGACGTGTCGACCTCTTTATATGTCCATTTTTTGCTAAAAAGGGAACGGGACATATAAAGAGGTACGACTGTACAATAAGTGTACATATATAAATTTGTTTTCCTATAAAGAACAAAAAAAAACAAAATAGCAATAAAAATTAAAAATTATACAAAATGATTCTTGGCTTTCCAAAATGAAACAATTTGCAATTCTGTATTTTGCATTGGGAGTTTTTCTCCAGAATATTTTATCTATTCTAGGAGTTTCAGCTATTCCGCTTCGTCTCTAAGGACTGAGGTCTAATTTTCAGAAGGTTATGGGACCGAGGAACATATTTTTCGATAATAAATATGGCGAAAAATTGACATATTATTATTTTAAAATAATATATATGCACGGAAAACGTTAAATATGAAACGAAATTTGGAAAAAATACGTAATACGCCAGTTGATTTCAGAAATATGGCAAAAATAATAATATTTGGTATTTAAAAATTGAAGTATGCCATATTTCTATAATACGCCATATTTTTTAATAAATATGCCATATTTCTAAAATATGCCATATTTCTGATATATGCCATACTTCCGTAGGTAAAATAGATGTATATTTATATACGAAATATAATATACAATATTTCACGGCTGTATTATAGGAATTGTATAGGCATATAGCCTGTATTTTGCAGTTATATCAAATGATTTATATAGACATATTGGCTGTATTTTGTAGTTAGTGGCTGAGTTTGTAGCTATATTAAAGGAAATGTACAGGTGTATAGTAGCTGATTTATAGCTGATATGATAAAATATCGCATTTTATTTCATATACTATATTATATAATATATTTCGTGAATATGTATATTGTACGTCTGGCATATTTCTGAAATATACCGTATTTC